TCCTGGTGATTGGCCCAAAGTCACCCAGCTGGCTTTCATTGCTTTTAATTTTGCTTAATGAGACCTGTGCTGTCCAGCCAGTGTATGAGAATTGGATAGTTAGGTAGCAATTGTGAGCTGTCCCCTTAAGGGAATGAATCATGGTAAATGTAGTTAAAGGTATCCTGGGAAATATAGTTCATGTCACGTGGCCACATCTGTAATCCTGATTGGTCACTAATTTGACCCTCGATGGGTCAGGGAGTTTTAATCACTTTTGCCTGAACTCCCTAACTCATGGCAGTTGCTTTCTACCGCTACAAGATGGGTTAGGTTAGGAGATAACCATCTTTTACTACAAGGCAGATATGCAAAGGATTGGTCATTAAAGAAGAACTTCATCACAAATGTGAGTGATGAGGATACCTGATGAACCAGTAACTGTACTTTGTTATGGACGTTTTGTTGAGTTATCTATCTGCATCTGCACAGCTTAAAAATCCACTACTGTGCAGAAGACAAAAAAAGACCGTTTCTCATTGAAATCCTTTTGAATTGGACATTCGTAACAATGGATGGCCGCAGGGAAGAATATCAGCAAAGTCGAGATGGTGAAAGATGATCAAAGCTCTATTCTTTCTTGGCTTTGACTGCCATTTTGGCTGCTGTCATGGCTGCCATTTTGATTATTTTTTTGACCCCTCTGGCTGTCTCTGTTTATATCATTGCAAAAATAAAAAGTGGGAAGCAGCAAAATCATAATTACCTCCAAGGGTAACAACGACTGGAATGGGACTCCATGTTCCACTTAATGCATCAGGCCGAGGCACCCCATGTTCTGCTTAAAAACCCAAACGGGCGAGCTGGCATTGCGGTCGTTGAGCAAGGCAATCACTTGGGTGCCTCTTTTAATGACCGCAATGAATTATGATCATAATTCCAAGCTTAATTGTGGTTGTGAATTGAGGACAGCTTATATAGCATTCTCCTGGATTACCTTCAAATCAGATTAAATTCCTTACTTGGATTGATGGAGAATTTAGGGATTGCTTCAGTAACTCCCATGCTATAGCGAAGGTTGTGAATAAAATCTTCGCCATCGGGATCCTTGGCTGTTATATTGGCTACAAACATTCCGACTGGTGCTTCCTCACGAATCTTGTAAACCTTCTCTTTCCTAGAATAGAAATTAGACAGAACACTTGGATGTGTTTGATCAGCTATCTCTTATAACCCTTAAAATATAACTAATACAAGGAAGGGTTACAATGTCAAAGCAAAAATTAATTATATGGCGTCCTCGGGGCTCAATAAGTTTGGCAATTTTCTTGCAGGTGTTTCATTACCAAACTAGGTTACGTCATCAGTGTTGGAAGGAAGTGGGGTTTGCTCTTAAGATGCACTGGTGATGTTACACACTTTGGTAATGAAACGTCTGCAAGAAAACTACCAACCTCGGAGAGCACCAAGGACCTTATAGTTTAAATCTGAGCTACAAATATTTTTGATCAGTAATTAATTATATTTAATATAACCAGCTCTGGAACGTATCCTGCTTCAAAAAGTAGTAGTTCTTCTTCTTCTTCTTCTTCTTCTTCTTCTTCTTCTTCTTCTTCTT